AGCCTTAGGCCCACATTAAGAAACTGCTTCATATTTGTAGCCCACAAATCAAGGCCATTCGTGACAAGTTACTAAGAATTTTGAGGTTAACATTTGTAATACTCCTATTTTGGCTAAATAATGCGTTTACAATCACTGCTGATTGATTCATGGTTTACTATGGTTGAATTATTAAACTATTTCATTTTCGATTCATTATCATGGATTATATATTTTATTATTGTTCTATTTTAGGTTGTTTGAGTATGTGGAAACTCTCGGCACTTAAGTGGCCCTTTTTGTATATTTCTATGGGTTCCTTGGGGTAGAGGTCCTGTTTCAAAATCTACTTGAAATCTCTAAGCATCTACTATATATTTAGTTGGGATGTTTACAAAATGTGAATTATGATTTTACATAAAGATAATTTTAAATTTTAAGTAATGTTATTTTGTAAATCAATAAAAAGTCAGTTGTAAATGAATATACAGTTTTTATGAATTTTTTATACTGTCACTATGAATTAAGGATAGTCAAATATTAATTTCAATTTTTAAGAATGTCAATAGTACATTTATAAAAATTTAATTGTGAATGAATAGATAATCTCATGAATTTATGCTTTTTCTCTTAAATGAATATAAATAATCTAAATTGTAAATAGTCTTAATTGTAAGTTTTTTATTTCAAAAAATTTAAACTTTATCTCGTAGGACTTTCCACATATGTCTATTTATAACTAACATGAAAAGTCTTTTTTCATGTTGGTTAATTAACCGATGTTGAAATTAAATTTTTCACTTCCTTTTTTTCAACTTTCTTTTAATAACTAACATAAAAATTTAAAATAACTTTTATTAAAAGTTCTTCCTATGGTAGTGCCTGTCATGTTTTAAAATATTCCTTTACAACTTATTTTTCATAAATTCACCAAGTAACTTTAAAAAAATCCACAAATGTTTCTTCTTAAATTAACAAGTAAAATGTATATATTCAATGAAATTATTTATTTTTTTGCAATTAATTTTTTATGAGAATCTTAAATTTAAAACTAATTTCTTTAAATTCATGAATAACCTAATTTTAATAATTAAAAATATTTTATCCTTTTCTAATATCTTTACAAGATCCCGACTATCACTTTACCTAGTTAATATGTCCAACAGCTAGCATGCAGATGTATAAAAATAAGAGTTTGTCTTGGTGTCGCCTTTCGTCCCGTTGAGGCATAGGATGATAAAATGCAGTGTCTTGTCTTTATCAAAAGGATAAGGAAGGCAAACCTCGTGACACGTGGAAATGATCATGGACTTCGGAGCACTTTCAAATTTACATGCACAAGCACCAAGCAACACCATAATAGCCGAAGACCTTTGATTCCACATCCTCAGTCGCCCGAAATAATCTTTTTTATTCCACATCCTTAATCATGTATAATTCAAGTTTTTTATAACCGAAAATAAAAGGATAAGCTTTCTTAAATTCCCTGCGCACTTTTTTTTAGGTGAATTCCAGATTATTCTTATACAAATTATTATTTGTGAAATAATCATATAATATTCCTGAAGTTAAAATAAGAAAATCTCTTTTACTTTAAAGATTGGTGCACTATATATTCGTGAAATAATCAATTTGTTTATTACTAATGTGGTCAATATAAATTTAATTTAAAAAGTATAATTTAATATTTATAATTTTTATAATTTGAATATCCAGATATATTCTGAATAATTTACATATAATCCAGACACCAATTTTAATATTAAATTTTTTTATAATTTTTACAGATCATATAGATATACTTTAGATAATCTAAATTTAATATAAGAATTTTTTATAATTTTTATACTAATAAATATACTATTTAAATTTAAAATTAATTTAAAATGAATGACAGAAATTATTTTAATATAAAATCAGATGCCAAAATTTGGCCACGTCTGATGGGCACTCGGTACACTAACACCTTAAATATAGGCTTGTTTTTGCACATGTCCACTTTGAGACAATGCAATTTATGTCCACTGGCATATGAGAACGGGTGGGATGGGCTGACACTTTTGTCCACGTCCGCCCACAGACGTGTTGCTCACTGTCATGCTCTGTCCATGTCACCATTTTTTTATTTTTTTAAATATTATTGACAATACTAATAATAATTGTTACTATTTAAAAAGTAACAGTTATTATTATTGAAAAAAATTCAAAATTAAAATTATTTAAATTTTATTAACGATCAACCATGTTATAAAATATATTAAATGGATTAGCTATGTTATCTATTGAAAGTAAAATGTTAGAATTATTTGATTATAAAAAATTAAAATTTGATTTTGTAGTTCAAAAAGTTAGAAAAGTAATGTGAAAGTATATAAATAATACTTCATTCATCTCAAATTATAAGGTATTTTTAGATAAAATCTCACATATCAATAAACCTTATTAAATATACCTAACAACCTTATATTTTCAAAATAAAAAATATAAACTTTTAAAATTCACATAATTTAATATATTGAAAAGAGAATGGATGAAAATTAATTATAGAAAGAAAAGAATAATATTAAAATTGGCACATTTAATAAAACCTTAATTTACCCATATTGTCTTATATTTTGAGATAGAAATTTTTTTTTAAAAAATACTCTATAATTTAGGATGAAAGGAGTAATACATTCGGTTTCTTAAATAATTTCACCTTAGGCCTCAAAACCCATTCACACGGCCCGGTCATGTCCACACATATGCGTCCATGTAAACTTGCTTCCTCTTTCTAAAGCTCCTCTAAAGTAATCATTTCTAAAGTCCAAACAAAAGTTTCTTTCTAGAGGAAGATGCTGCATTCATTACTAGAGTATAGAAGATAAACCAGTCATATAATCATAATAATTTAATTCAACTCAATTTAGATAGAATCATTTCTATAAATTGAACCTCCCAATACTTCAGTTCAATTCACAAATTAAAGAATAAACAAAGCTACAAAGACTAATTAATAAGTTTACAAGCACGTACAACAATTCAATAAAGGCATATTAACACATTGAAACAATTTAAACATGCTACCATAATCAATCACAGCCAGCGGAACAATTTGCAACACTCGTGTTCCCATAATATGCTAACAAATTTAACTAAATTTAGACATGTTCTTGAGAAGTTTCCATTCTTTATACTAACTAGCCTAAAAGTTGGACTGTCATGAAGTTAAAGGCAAACAAATTTAACTAACACTCATATTATCATTATCTAACCTAAGCTAAAAATTCAAACACTAGTGTTCTGCCTTAAATTTGTGATTGATTATGGTTAATTGATCATGTTCCTATTTTCTATCCTAAGCTAACCTTTAAACATGTACTCATGTTACCATTTTTATCATAAAAATTGACTATGTTCTGCCTTAATCAGAACACCCATCAAGAAAACCAAATGACAGAGACAAGAAAACCCATCAAGAAAATCCAGATCATGAACATTAATGATTTTTTTTTTTTAAATACCTGAGTTGAAGCACGCACACAAACTGGAATGGATTAATTGAATCATCAACGGACACTATTCTTGAGGCACAAATGCAAGAGATTGAAGCTCAGAGAAACGAAGCATCCATGAATTGAAGAAGAATAAGAAGAAGCAAGGCCAAAATAAAAGACACTTCACGTGAGAGATAATTTCTGGGTTGAAGCACATGAAGAACACAATGAAGCTTTTGGGTGTAGAAGATTTTAGGTTAGGGTTTCTGGGTTTGTATTATGCGATGAAGTTTTCTAGGTTTGCAGAATTTGATAAAATTAGAAATTTATGGCAAACTTGATGAAAGAGGTCTTGATAATTTAATCGGCATAATTAATGTTTAAGTACATGGTGTTATAGTTTAACGTATGAGTTGTTTCTAGTTGGGAACCCTTTTACAATGACCCAAAATATTTCTAAATGTATTTATTGAGATTATAGAGTTGTAGACTATTGAAGTGAAAACTACAAGACCAGCCCGAGGCAAGCAACACAAGTTATTATTTATTTAATCGAGTATCACATTTTTTACCAACACTTAATTCTTCATCATGAATGAAATTAACAAATTCATAATTACTACATTTTGACAGGAACAGCTCTTAGAGGTTGAGCCTTATGCAATAAAATCCCATAGTTTTGACTCATATCCATATCCTCTAGCTTTAGCCCATCTGGAACCTTCCAATCAAAATGATATGTAAGAGATGCCAACATAAAGGGAAGTACCCTAGAAGCCAAGGGCAACCCAGGACACATCCTCCTCCCAACACCAAATGGAATAAACTTAAAATCATTAGCCTTAAAATCAATCTCACTTTCCAAAAACCTTTTAGGGATAAATGAATTAGGTTTATCCCATATGGTTGGGTCTCTTCCCATAGCCCACACATTTACAAAAATCTGTGCGTTTTTGGGAACTAAGAAGCCACATAACTCTACATCACAAATTGCCTTGCAGGGTAGTAGATATGGTACTGGTGGGTGTAGGTGTAAAGTCTCTTTTTGTATTGCTTGTAGGTAAGTCAACTTTGAGCTCATAGTCTCTTCAAGATTCAAAGTATTATTTTTATTACCAAGAACATGTTGGAGTTTTGTTCTTACATTCACCATTTTCTCTGGGTTTCGTATTAATTCTGCCATTGTCCATTCAAGTTTGCTCGGTGTTGTGTCAGTCCCCGCCACAAATAAATCCTGAAATATCAAGCAATGATTAGTTAAGTTAATTATCAAACAGGCACAAACATGCCATATTAAATTCATTTAATGTTTTGTATTATCTCTCATTTATGTCACTTTTTCTTTCCCCCCTCATTTATAATAATAGTAAAGAAAGAAAAGACAAGAAATTGAAGAGGTACTCTATTTAAAAATACATTAAAAATAATTATAAATAAGACTTTATTTGATTAAATTATTGCATTATTGGATAGATATAGCAAGAACGAGATGATACTCGTGATCCATGCAAGAATTTTCTCCATTGCTAGGATATATTTTGTGTGATAAAGTCAGCATGCAAAAGGGGAAAAATACTTTACTTTCGTTTATTCTATCTTTCTCTTAATAAAAAGCTAAATTAACATATTGATCTTGTAATGTAATATTACATAAATCTATATTATTTCTTTCAGCAACCTTCAACCATTTTGATAAAATAAGTAATTTATATATAAAGTGAATTATAGCAAGAAAACTTGGGAATCAAAATTAATTCTTAAACTTTTTTCAAGAATGTTAGGTACCCTACATTAAAAGGTGGCACAATGTCCACACTTAATAATTTTAAGAGTAAGATTGTCTTTCTGTCAGAGGACCATCATCTTCTTAGTTTTCTGCATATATGGAATAGTTGTGGGGCCTTTGCACAATAACAATTAGGCATTTTGACTCCTTTTGACCATTTGACATGGACCAAAGGAGTTGAAAGTGACAGTAGCAAGAACTAGTAGAGGCAAAACAGCAAGAAAATAAGTCAGAATGCCTTGTTGTCATTATGCATGTGCCCGACAACTTTTTCATTTTAGCAAATAATAAAGATGATGATGAGTTTATGACAAAAGGGAAATTTTGTTCCTGAAAAAAATTTCTACAAGGGGATATTGCCTTATCTTTTAGTATAGAATGCCTAGAGCTTCTAAAAAATTATCATTAATCCAAAATTAAATTTAACTATTGATACTCACTATGAACAAATAAATGACATCACCACAGCTAAATTGTGAAGAATCGTCTTCGATAAGATCAAGAATTGAATCCAACGCATCATTGTTTTCTTTGGAAACTATGTTGGAACCTCTTAAATGCAATGTCTCTTCCCAAATATCATCAACAAGTTTATAAAACTTTTTATAATAACCTCTCATCCTCACGCGAACGCCTTGTCGATCAAGAAAACTCAAAACAAGAAAAATATCAGAAACATTAGGCCTCCCATTTTCATCCACGATCCCAGTCACTAACTTCTTATACTCCTGAGTCTTATTGGAACCATAACAAGCAAAACCCATGGAAAAAAGCATGTTCAATGCTAAATTGAGAACTATGTTAAAGAAAGCCTCAGCAAGATATATAGCCTCACCTTTAATGGAATATTCATGGATATGATTGATTAAGTCTCCTACCTATTAGAAATAAAGAAATCAAAGAAATTTCTCCTAGAAATTAAAAAATAGATTATAAATATATAAAAATTGGATGTGTCTAATAAAATGACTTAAGTTATTTTGATGAAACTACCCTCAAGCGTAATTAATATATAGAGTTTAACACTACCTTGTTTTGACGTAGAAACTAGGTGGAGTCCAGCTTCAGATTTGAGAAAATTTTCATAACACAAGCTCATCTAAGGGCTTTCCATTGAGTTGAAACGGGAAGCCAAGCTATGGAGACTTGGTGATGATTGAGAGCTCGAGCACTGTCAGGGAAGGTTCGACTAGAGAAGTCTAGGTCGTGTTTGTGAAAAGCTTCTCCGGCTATTTCTTGAGAAGAGATAATTATGGCGATCCTTGTGCCTAACGTGAGTGACATAATGGGTCCATGAGATTTGGAGAGGTTCGTGATGGACAAGAGAGGGTTAGAGCCGCGCTCAAGGATGTTCCCAATTACTGGGTAGGGACGAGGGCCTGGTGGGAGCTTGTATGAAGAAGACGATGTTGATCGAACGAAACAAGATTTGTAGATGAGAAAGGATGCAGAGAGAATGGAGGTTAGGGCGAGGGCCAGGAAATTGTCCGTGGCTTCTTTCTTTTGCTCTTGCTCTGGCAAACCACTACTCTGTATGAAGAAGTGATGTATCGCTGTCTCTTTCTTTGTGGGGTCCTCATGCCACTTGAAAATTTCACTGTGTTTTCTCTTCTGCTGCTCGACGAAAAACACAATACACGTGACAGAGTCAAAAAGACAAATTACACTCAACTATGTTGTCTCATTTGGAATGATGAGAATGCACAAATTAATGATTAAACGTGGATGGTTGAGATTTTATTCAATATTTACTTTCTATATTTTTATATTTTATTATACACAGAATTCAAAATTGTTTTAAGAAATAAAATAGATATATATATAGGGCTAGTTAGGTTTTGTTCTCATTTTTAATTTTTAAAAAATATTTTATAAACTAATTTATAAAAATTCTTTTTCAAAACAAAACAAAATGAAAATCTAAGGTTTGATATATGTTAATTTAAAAATAATTTTAGAGTTAAAAAATGGCTTAGTGTGGTTGATGATGGTTTATGATGGTGATGACCATAACTGAAGATAATTTACAATAGTCAGATATAGTGTGCTTTAAAAATAAAAATAGAGAAAAAAATAATTCTAAAATATTTCCATTTTTCATTTTAGAAAACAAAAAAAGAACATTTTTTTAAACGCTTAAATCCAAAACATTTACTCAATCGGATTTTTTTTCAATTTTTTGTTTTTAAAAGATGAAAAAATTTTAAAAAAAACAAAATCAAATAGACCCATAATTCCCAGATAAGGTCAATGATTTAAGTATTCTTGGTTATTGTAAATGATTAGAAGTGACTTTTACATATAACTAAAATGGAGTTTAAATTAAAAAGGGCAAATACAAATGTTGGCTATAACACCTTTTAAATTGGATTCGTACAAGTCAGATCCCATCAAAACGATAGACACATGCCATCTGTGCCGAAAGGAACCGATTGCGAGAACGAAAATTTTAAGTATGGATGCGAAGTTAAAAAAACGTAACATAAAAAGGCAAAAAGAAAATTGGTCACCAAGGGGATGGATGGAAGGAACGTTTAGGTGCGTGGATGTGTAGGTAAGTGGGGTGGTGCTTTTTATTCGTTTGGGTGTTAGGAGAAAGATGACACAACATGATGTAGGAGCAAATTCTCTAAAGTTGAGATCCATAAATTTACCCGAATTTTTCTTTATATCTATCTATCTATCTTTTCCATTTCATTATTTTTTTTTTATAAAACATAACATTAAATCTCTCTCAGTTAAAAAGATAAACTTTGTCAAATTCACGGATTCCTAATTTCAGAGGATCCATTTCCCATAATGCAATTGTGTACTATATGTTATATTGCACAAAGCATAGGGTATGCAGTGCAGCTATGTCCATGGCTTATATCAAATGCAACATTCTATTGATTTTTTTTTCTTTTTTTTTTTTTTTTTTGGGTGATCAAAGGATTACAGAACAGGAAGATTAATATAGATTTATAGATTTGTTTGACACGCAGATTCATAGATCCAAACAGAGTCAAACGACATTCTATTGATTTAATATAGATTCATAGATTTGTTTGATATATTTTTATAAATAAAATAATTAATGTTTTTTTTTTGGCCAAAAAATAATTAATATGTCAAACTCGTGAATGTGGGAAAAATTAGTGTTTTGTCTTGGTGTGGACATTGGATTCACTTGCCCTCTCAGGCACTCAATAATCAATACAGCTGGCCAGTGTCTTGTCGGAAGGATAAAGGCAAGCCACGTGGACTGTGGCCATGGACTTCGGGACGATTTGAAATTTGAAACAGATATGCGCCAGCAACGTTAATTATAATAATAGACGAATTTTTTGCATCCATGGAAGTGTGACCGTGACATTGCACAAATTTAGGAACATATATATGATGACAGAAAAATCTTAAAAAAAAAAAAAATCAACCTAGACCAAGCAGATGCATTAATTTGTGTGTTTCAAAGGATCCTTTAGCATAGTTTAGAAATAATTCTTTTTGAGACATAGAAATCAAACATATGTATGCTTTCTACAACCAAATCATTTGTGTAAAAAACATTTTTCAGGATAATTTAAAAGGTTATTTTCACAATAAAAGAAACAGTGTGGTAGAAACAAATGTAATTGTAATATGAGACTTTTCACAACATAGCATAAGTGAACTCTCATTGTAAGTTATCACTTTTTGTGACAATTCAAAGGATTAATTGTCGCGAAATGTTATAACTTACGATGACAATTCACAAGGAAACCATCATTATAAATCAAATATTATAACTAAGGATTTCAAAACTGATCCAAACTGAAACAACCAAACCAAACTGACTCAAACCGAAATAAATCAACAAAAATGACTATTGATCAAGTCTATTTCAATTTTTATGACATACAAATTGATTGGTTTGGTCTGGTTTTGCTTTTGAGATTTGAAAACCAAATCGAATTTGAACTCAGCTTGATTAAAAAATAATATTTATTTATATAAAATCTATCTAACTAATTTCAACACCCAATCACCCAAACCATTCACCCAATCCAATATTTTTTTATTCATGTATCAAGTTGTTTTTCTCCTTCATTTCAAGTGTTATTCCTTAGATAATAATAGATTGATGCTTGAGAAAAAATGCTTTTTTTTTTTGAATAATTTTAAGTATATGAATGTCTCTTTTTTGTTTAAGGACAAGTAAAATATATCAATTATTTTTTGGATAATAAACAATTGGTATAGTTTAAGTAAATATTATAATATTGAGAGATGGATATTATGTTTAGAATATATATGTATGGGACTATGGATATAAGTATTAACATTGAATAGCATGATATTTGAAATTTTGGATATTTAGACTTGAGATATTTATATGTTTGCTACTTTCTATTAGGTGATGAATTTTCTCCATGAAGATTCAAATACTGCATCTAATAAAATCATGAAGATGATTAGTTGATCCCTATCATTATTTTGATTTTTTGCTACTTGCAATTATAAAATTAATTCACAAAAAATAAATAAAGGTATAAGATAAATAAATAAATATCTAAAAAAAAAGAATGAACATATATGTATAAGATATGTGATTAATCAAGATTCAAAGACCTTCCATAAATATATTATAATATAAATAAAGCATGAGATAAGCAAGGACCTTCCATACAATAAAAAAGAAAGCAATGCATAATGGGAAAAAAGGAAAAAAAAAAGTCAAATAAAGTCATTGAAACTTAATTTAGATCTTAACCAAACCAAACCAAAGTGAAACAAAAACTAAACCATACCAATTTTCATAGAAACCAATCAAGTTTCACTCATGAGCAAACCAATTGGTTTGGTTTGGTCTGGTTTTTGCCTAAATCAAACAAAATTGAACCTGTGAACACCCTTAATTGTTGCGGCAGTTTTAGTCATAATTGTTATAAGTATATTTTTTGTGATAGTTTTGTGCACAACTATTGCTATATGTTATCTTTTAAAAGAAAAAAGAAAAAAGAAAGCAGATTTTACATATAAATAGCAACTTCAGATACTAGTGCAAACATCTCAATTAAATTTCTACATACTCAATGCAAATATCTATGTAATTATCTACTCTAATCTTGTCAATTATAAAAAGTAACAAATATTCCTCATATGTCTCAACTCTTGCTTGGAATATGGCTCTAAATTTTTAAAATGATATAGAATTAATAAAAATATATGCATGAATATTAATTCAAATAGAGGATGAGCTATAAAATGTAAATTATTATTACCTTGAGTGATGACTTTGTACATGAAAATCATCATGTAATAACTACACCCTACACAAACCAATTCAATTCATAAAACCAATAGTGTAATCTTTATTTTAATTTAGGAATAAATTTGAAATACTTACTTACATGAGCACCCCTAGTCTTTTTCTTGTCAACTCTATTTGCTAACTTCCAATAATGAAGTAAAGATCTATTTATCAAATATACACACTTAGAAAATATTAAAAACATGCTAATAATATCACAAAAAAAGTTATTCAAAAACTTATGATTCAATTAATGACTTCATATCATCATTTACTTTCCATTGTAATGAACAGAACCAATATATAGTATTTTTATAAGAACAAATGATAGGAAGCATCCAATGATTATACAATATACTAGTTTATATTAATATCATATCATTAAGCAAATTTTTTATAAATTGAAAGATGAATTAGAAGTTTAATTCCTTTCAATAGTTGGTGCAAAAAAAAAAAAACACACACACACACACATATTCTTTAGCCTATGCATCGCGTTTTCAACATAAGATACTTTTTAATTTGATTTGCCAACTGAAATTAAGAGTGAGGACAAGAACATATAATAATGATTGACATAAAGTTGGGTGCACATTTTGTGAAGATATATTTGATAATAATAAAACTATTAAGAATGAAATAAAAATCATAAATATTAGATTAGAAATAAAAATAAACATTTACATGATAAAAACGTGTATTATTGATATATCTAAACACTCCATAATAATAGATCATTAATCTCCACTTAACTCTAAAGATCAAGATAATTAAAGGACTAATCCAAAAGAATTACCAAGTCTGTAAATTTTACACAACAGGATCCCAAGTTTTCAAAATCTAAAACACTTCAATATACCTTCATTAATCAAAAATCAAAGTACAAAGTGTATGTGGAAGTATGGAATCTTGAACAAGTCAAAGAATTTGCAATATAGTTGAAAACAGCAAAATAGTGCAGCAAATTAAAGGTACGCTATGACTTGTTATGTAACCTCCTTGAGGTTAAACCACAAATTAACTCCAATTCATAGTAATCCAAGATTTTAAAGAGAATTTCTCAAAAATTATTTCACAGAAATCCCAATTTTTATTTCAAATCTCAAACATAATTTAAGGGCTCCAAATCAGAGTTTTAGAAACAAAGCAGAAGCTTAGAAATCAATTGGGACCCAAATAATAAGTTTTAGAACTCAAAAATCATTTCTGTG